TTTGAACAACATAAAATGAATTTAAAACATTTTGTTTTAAATTATTTGCTATTTCTAGTTGTCAAGCACATTAAATTTAAAGCCAGATATGCTGTGATACATCCAATAATAGATTTATTTTTCTTTTCTTTTATAACAAATAAATCTTATGAGCTTGATTAAGTCTGTTTGGCATATAACACCTGTTATATAACCTATATTTACTATTAAAAAAAAGAAATATAATACACATAACCAGTAGTGATCATTACCACCCCTAGATATATTTAGGGTTAGGGTTAGAAAATTAAGAATTATTGTTTTTTTATATAATATATATAGAGCTAATATAAGGGCCTGATAGGGCCTGATATTAGTTTTTATAAAGTTTTGGAGGTCCTGAACATTTTTACTTAGAAGACCCAATCCTATTTACTTAGTACGTTTTTGAGATATAAGCACCCTAGTGATAATCACCACTGGTTATGGTTAGTAAGATTCTAAAAAAAAAATAATATATAATAATTTATTAAATATTTAAGGGTCAAATTTTTGTTGTTGAGTATATAAATAATTACATTGTCCATTCCTACTAACAGCTGGCTATAACAGAGCTGAGTTATATTTTAGTTATAGCTGTTTTCATTATTTTTGGAACACCTGATAAAAAATTAGCTGAATGATTCTGGTTAAGTTATCTTTTCAGCATAATAAATTCAAAAAAATTGATATAATATATATAATTTAAAATTAGGTTGATAATATAAATATAAAATTATACATATATCTTGTTAAATTCAAAAAATATGTTACTTTCAAACTATATTCACTAGCAAATTATTGAAAAAATTTAGAAGACCTATCAACTCAAAAAATTGCAAAACATTTAGATGTTAGCATGTCTTCTATAAGTCAGGTTTTATATTGAAAAACTTCTATTACTTTAGAAAAACCACATTCTTTAAACATGAATGATATAAATTATCTTAAAGTTTTAATAAAAGAAAAATCTGACTAGTACTTATTTGAATTACAATTTGAGATAGAACTTTGGTTGGGACATAACAACAATTTGAAGGACTATACACTGACTTGGATATACACACAAAAAGATAATATTTCATATATTTATACATATTTTTATTTTATAAACTTTTAACAATTTTATAAAAAGCTCTTTTGTATTAATAGCTTCTGATTCAGGTTCTTTCATGTTAATAATATCCAATTGATTTTTGAATTAGTTGCAATCACTTCAAACAAGTCAGATAATTAAAATTATTTAATACTTCACTATAATTAGTTTATAAAATAAATCAATTATTTTATGGTATTTTTAAATAATAAAATAATTAAACTATTTCATAAATTTGAGATAGTAAAGCATAAAATAAAACTGTTATTGCATGCTCTGTATGCACTAACTGCTGTATTTTATGTTCTCTTCTGATCGTTTGGTAAACCAGCCGTACCGGCTGGGTTAATAACTAATCATCATTGTTCATAAAATACAGCAGTTATTGTATACTTCATATGCGACAACTATATAGTATTTGTCATGGATGATAAAGATTCTATAGAATCTTTAATTGTTAGATCTACTATTTCGCTTTGATTTTGTTGATCATAATTTTTAATGCATTTTTGACAAATATTAATTAAGTCTTGATTTTTTAGAATCTCGACTTTAGTTAAATTTTTAGTCCAATCGATGAATTCTTGATTGTATCTAACTTTTTTAATATTAGCACCTATTCATGTAATATAATTATTATAAAAATTAATTTGATATCCAGCACAAATTAAACACACCAAGCATATTGGGCAAGTGTTCAAACAAATTTAAATAATATCAACATTATAATAATAAAATAATTTGTAAAACAAGTAATTTATTTATTATGGTAATTTTTGAAATTGAACACTATTCCTTCTCAGATTTCAGATTCGGACTGATCCAGAATTTTTATAATTCTTTTTGATAATATATATTTTTTACTTTTTTTTTCTGATATATAAAATTTTTTAAACAATTTTAAACTATTAGAGTTATGAAATGTAAAAATTGCTGGCTAAAAAAAAAAAAAAAAAGAAATAAAAATGAAAGAGGTTTTGTATCTGTAGTAAGCTAGACTTTATGAAATACTATAGAAGTATAATAGAACCTGATTATTATCCATGAAGTGAACATAACTGAGAATCAATCCCAAATCAGATGATTGCTCATTCCATCATTATCTGATCATCTGATCTGGGATTGATTATTGGTTATTGCCCACTCCCACTTCGTGGACAATAACATATACTTATAACATAGATATTATATCAATATTAAGTAAAATAAAAATTGGACGAATTTAAAATATATTTTTTATATACCGATCATGCTGAAAAAATAACTTAAATGGATTAGCCGAAAAATCATTCGGCTAATTTTTTATAGGTGTCCCAGGGATAATGAAAACAGCTGTAAGCCGTTTTTTAGCCAAGCCATTTTTTAGCTAGCCGTTCAAGAGCCGACGGCTCTAAATTGTATTGTTATATCATTATAGAAAATTTATTTTCAATTAAATTCAGCGTTAATACATATTCAGTTATTTCAGTAATTAATATACAAAGCAGTGATAGTATAGAAACATATAAAAAAAAAACTATTATTATATCGTTATATAGAGTTTATTTTCAATTGAATTCAGCGTTAATACATACTGTATACAGATATTTCAGTAATTAATAATTTGCAAATGTGCAAGCAGCGATAGTATAGAAACATATATAAAAAAAAATTATTGTTATATCGTTATATTATTATCAGAAGTTTCTTGCAATGTCTTGTGAATTTTGGGAATTAATATAAGAAAGGTCGTTATGATCCATTTGGGCGATTATTGTAAGTATCAAAAAGAAAAAAAAAAATTTATAACAAATAGTTTACAAAATATATTGTTATAGTTTATTATAAATACGAAAGCTTATTATCAATATGAAAGTTTAATATCAATACGAAAGTTACTTAGTAATAGTTATATCCTGGGCAGTTGGGTATAAGCGGGATGAAATTCCCGCTTATACACATAGTGCCCAGGGTATAAATGATTTATGCCTTGCGATCTTGATATAGTTATGTCATAACAGTTACTATAGTGATTACAACAGATAAAGTCATATAATCGGTTCACGGCTCTAAACCGGCTCGGCTAACTAACGGCTCAGCTAACTAACGGTAACGGCTCAGCTTGTGCCGTTAAATAACTCAGCTAAGCCGATCGACTTACGCATCACTTTATATAATATAACGATAATGTATATTAGATATAAGGTCCCGATTTCAGTTCTCGTGAGGTTTTTGGGGGTCCTGGACATTTTTTCTTAGAGTACCCGATCCTGTTTACTTAGTACATAATAGCATCCTAATGACGTAACCATAGATTTTTTTATTAAAATAAGAAATCTTTAGATTTTTCAAACTTTTTTAACCTTTTTGCGAAGTTTTTCACGTCTATCTGACCAAATTCTTTTTATTTTAATTCTACATACAAATAGAATTAATATAAAAAAGTTCACTGAAATCAGTTAAAAACTCTAAAAGGATCTTCCTTCCTGACGACCAGGAATTCCCTGTAAAAAATAATCAAAAACAGAATTTATGCAATATGTAGATCAATATGTGGCTTTAACGGCCCCCTATGATAATTTATATCTTTCGCACGCGTTATAGGACAATACTTGAAAAGACACTAATAAAGTCATGAAAAATACTTTCGAAGAAGAGCTCAAAAAAGCTGTTTACCGTAGACATATTAATTATATTGAATATTATAAACTTACGAGTAGAGTAGTAAAATTCGGCAGTGGAGATTTTAGATCAGTTTTTAAATACGAGCGGAAAGATTGCGAATTAACAGTCGGTCTTAAATGTCTCAAAGTCAACGCGATTTCAGACTCCAAAGTTATTAAAGACTGTATTGATGAGGTATGATATTATATTCAAACTTAAACTAGTCTTAATGTATTATATATTATATTTTGAAAATTTCTTACAATTTCGCGTAAATAATAGCTTAAGCTATTTCGAAATTTTGAATACCATCAAAATATAAATTTATTTTATGGGGTCACTAAAGGTATATTATAATTATGAAAGTATAATATGATTATTATAAAATTTATTAATATTTATATTTATTATAAATAAATAGATTACAATGGATATTATTATATGGTTTTTCAATATGCTAATGAAGGAAATTTACGAAAATATCTGAAAGAAAATTTTATGATGCTGCAATGGTCAAATAAAATACGTATTGCTACTGAAATAGCGTTAGGACTTTCGTTCTTACATGATAATGATATAGTTCATATGAATCTTGTAAGTTATTGTATCTTATTACGCGTCTGAGTTTTTTTTTTATTATATTTTATATTACGCGTCTATGGTTTTTTTTTTTATATATATTTTATATTACGAGTCTATGAGTTTTTTTTTTTTTAATATTTTATATTACGCGTCTGAGTTTTTTTATTAATTAATATTCTTAACTTTCTTATAGCATTCAAAGAATATATTAATTCATCAAGGCAAACCAAAGATTACAGATTTTACACCGTCGAAATCAATTGTTTGTAGAATGGCCGCATATGCAGATCCTCAATATTTTACTAAGCGAAACTATGTGTGTGGCAAGAAATCGGATGTATATAGCTTTGGTGTGATACTTTGGGAAATTTCAAGCGGTGTACCACCTTTTCAATACTTTACATCAGAACGACCACTTATTATTCACACCTCAAGAGGAAATAGAGAAGATCCAATAGAAGGCTCACCACTTCAATATGTTAAACTTTATAAACAATGTTGGGATGAGAATCCCGAAACTCGACCGGAAGCAAGAACAATTTTTGAAACTTTAAATAAGCTTATTCCGAATGAAATTTTAAATAAGCATCTTCATAATGAAAACACTTTCCTGAATCAACAAGAAAATAGAAAAATAAGCAAACGACATAATTCACAAAAAATGCATGGAATAACAGCATCTTCGTCTGTTAGTAGGAACACACATGCGAATAAGAGAAATGAAGCGCGTAAATTCATAAATGAAGGAAGATTCCTCAAAGCACTAAATATTTATGAAGAAATTTATAGGTACAGCGGGTCTACCAAAAACTGTCAGGAAAATTGGACAATTTCTCGTATATGTAGTCAAAGAGAAATAAATGAGTTGGTAGAAGTACTTAGCAAGAACAGAATACTGACTTCGTTGGATATTCGGCATAATAATATTGGAAGAAATGGGGGAAAATTATTAGCCAAGGTGCTCTGTGCGAATACCGTTCTGACTACTCTGAATCTTCAAAATAATAAGATTAAAGCAGAGGGTGCAATTGCATTAGCAGAAGCGCTTTCCAGAAACAAAACGCTGACTTACTTGAATATTTGTGGTGGTAGAATTGGACCAGAGGGAGCAAAAGCAATAGCAGATGCGCTTTGGAGAAACACCACCTTGACTTTTTTGGATATATCCAATAACGTCATTGGATCAAGGGGATGTATAGAAATAGCAGAAGCGCTTTATATAAACTCTACTTTGACCACTCTAAACCTTTGTAATAATCACATTTGTTCAAAAGCGGGGTTTGCACTAGCAAAAGCTCTCTTTAGAAACATCACTTTGATTTCTTTGAATCTCGAAGAGAATCTACTTGGACCAAAAGGAGGAGAAGCACTCGCGAATGCACTTCGCAAGAACTTCGTCTTGAAATCTTTAAATCTTTCTTATAATAAACTAGGACCAAGAGGAGGAGCAGCATTAGCCAAAGCGCTTCGTAAAAATTCCCTAACCTCCTTAGATCTTAAACAGAATGAACTTGGATTTGAGGGAGGAAAAGCATTAGCGAGAACACTTTACGAAGGCACCTCCCTGATTTATTTGAATCTTTGTGATAATAAACTCGAGTCAGAGGAAGTAAAAATATTGGCATCGGCACTCTTCAAAAACGCTACCCTAGTTTCTTTAAATCTTGGGTTCAATAAAATTGGGACAGAAGGGGGAGAAGCAATAGCAGCGGCGCTTTGTAAAAACACTACCGTGACTTCTTTGAATCTTCAAAATGGTAAACTTGGAGTAGGAGGGGGGAAAGCACTAATTAAGGCACTTTCCAAGAATACCACTCTAATTTCTTTGGATATTCGAAAGAATGAATTTGATTTTGTAATAGAAGAAGGGTTCAAAAGATTAGTCAACGACTCAAGACAAATACTGTACGACTCGAATAATTACCTTCGCGTCAGACATGGGAATTTAAATGCTTTTTCTAGTTTTTCTAGATACACTAATTCCACTTAAATTTATGATTACAATATTTAATACCGCATTATTTCAATATCTTGCATACGTGATTTCGTACAAGATTATATAGAATAAATATGTTGGTGTTTTCTTGAAAATTTTAATAGCATGAATAATTGTTTCATTTTATTTCTAAGTACAACGAACGAATTTTTTTTTTTTTTTATTCATGTCTTGAGAGCTTCAAAGTTAGTAATATAATTATCATTCATAAAATAAATACCGTGAGGTTTGAAATTAAATAAAATATACTAATTTCTTCATCATCCGTAAAAAAATTTATTAAATCAGGTATAAATAAAAATTATAAAGATTATAGACTACGAGATGAAGGATGTGAATCAAATGCATAGCATCCTCATTCGATCCTTTTAAAAATATCTCCGGATTTTCAATCTTATATTTATTAGCTCTATAAATATAGTTACGGCAACAACTAAAAGTGATAACGACAATTCTTATAAACCGGTGCGCAGCCTACGGCTAGGGATCGAAACGGTTGGTTATAACCAGTTATTTCCACCGCAATAAGAATAAATTGCCGTCCCATCCCTACGGCACGTTTCGAGTCACCTGTCAGATTATCAGTTAACTTTTTTTATTTACGTCAGTAACGGTAAAAATTTTTAAACAGATATTAGTATTAAAAAATTAAATGTATAGATATATATATTACTGTATCATAGACGTGACAAGGGACACACGCAAATTCCATCAATACAAACACCGGTATATGTCCCTAATAACACAAAAAATTAAAATATTTCTACATAAATAAAAATATTTCAAATTAAATAATTAAATTTATATAAAAAAAAGGCCAATTCTATTTTGACCTGGGTCAAAGTAACCATCACATGACCATATACCTAAGAATTTTCAAGACTTTGAGCGAAGATATCTCGATAATCATCTAATCAAATTCGATAAAACTTTTTTTATTTAAATCTTATTGATTCATAGAATTCGAATAAAAAAAATTTCATCGAGTTTAGTCAGGTAGTTATCGAAATATCTTCCTTCAACAGCACTTAAAATGCCAGTCTAAAAAATTTCGCAGATCATGTGAAATGATGATCACAGGAATTTCCGATATATATCTATATAGCGCAGTTTAAACACAGTTTCGAGAAAGAACACTGTTTAAGCAAGAACAACGTTATCCTTTGCTTCGCAAAGGATAGTTTATGCTTTCGCTACGGCTAACGCCTCCGCTACAGCATTTTTTTTTTACTAAAGCTAAATAAAAAATATTATTAGTTTACTCTAACCTAACGAGGACTTATAATTATTCGTTAAATTTATATCATATGATCACGCGATCTGCGAAATTTTTTAGACTGGTGTTACTAGTCTTATATCTTCCTTCGCTCAAAGTTAAAGAAAAACCAAAACGCCTATCAAAATACAAATTTTTTCTCCGATTTTGAACGAAGACATCTTGACACCCATCAAACCAAATTCGATAAAGCCTTTTTTATTTGAATTTTCTGGATTCATAAAATTCGAATAAAAAAATTTTCATTGTACTTGGTTAAGTGATTTTTGATATATCTTTGCTTAAATTAGAGAAAAATTTGGCATAGCTTCTATTTTGATAGCATTTTGATTTTTCTCTAACTTTGAGCAAAGATATTTCGATAACTACTTAACTAAATTCGATTAAAATTTTTTTATTAGAATTCTATAAACCTATAAGATTCAAATACAAAAGGTTTAACAAAATGGTTTGATGGTTGGCAATATATCTTCACTCAAATGTATAAAAGAATTTGGTATTTTGTAACTTTGAGCAAAGATATCTTGACAACCACCTGACTAAATTCGATGAAAATTTTTTTATTCAAATTCTATGAATCCATAAAATTAAAATAAAAAATGTTGGTTTTATGGTTTTCAAGTTATCTTCGATCAAAGCTTTGAAAAAGATTTAGTGTAGCTTCAATTTTAATATCTTGATGAATTCCTAACTAAATCTAATAAAAAGTTTTTATTCAAATTATATGAACACAGAATTTAAATCAAAAAATTTTATCATATTTGGTTTGATAGTTTTAAGATATCTTTGATAAAAGTTAAATGCAACTTCTATTTTATAGGCTTTTTGATTTTTCTTTAACTTTGTGCAATAATATCTTACAATTATCTGATTAAATTTTATTATTCTAATTCTACAAATCTATAGAATTTAAATAAAAAGTAGTTTATCTATTGAATTTTGTTTGATGGTTGTTAAGATATCTTTGCTCAAAGTTTTAAAAATTTTTGGACATATGATCATATAATTGGTCACTTTGACAAATGGCACACTGAAAAATTTTGTAATATCTGATAGATAGATTAGTGAAGCAACCAGAAGTTAGTCTGGATTAGAGAAGTATTATTTATTATCTGATTTTTTTAGTAGGAGGTGGGTGCCAAAATATCATACTAATAAATTACATATATATATTTATATATAATCATAATCATTTGAGAGAGAAGAGATTTTACTATTTGCAAAAAATCAGATAATAAATGACACTTCTCTTACTAATATACTTATTTATAATTTTAAAAATTTTTAAAACTTCTAGTAAAGGTTTCTCAATTGCTACATGATCAAATTTAATAATTTTTTTATTTTAATCTATTCTTTTGTAAAGTGAAAAACAAAAAGAACTATTAATGATACATAAATAATTTTAATATAGTGTGAAATATATAAAATAATTATTTTACAATACTAGACAGTTTTGATTAGTTAGCTAGATTATAATTTAATATCATTTTTTTATAATAAAAAATAGTGTTAAATTATAATAAAAATGTACTAGCTGACTGATCAAATGATTTTTTTATGTGTTTTATACTGTGTATAAATTATTTGTATAACATTACCAATTTTTTTGTCAAAGTAAAATAAAAAAAGTTTGTTAAATTTGGTTTAGTAGTTATCAAGAAAACTTTACTAAAAGATTAAAAAAAATTAAATTTAAAACATTAGAAAAAAACAAATCAAATAAACTTTTTTTATTTTTAAACTTTAATTGATGATTTGCCAGTCATCTAGTCTATGATTATAGTATAATATAATGTATATTACTATATAAATTACATGTTGCGGCTAAAGCTGAAAACAGCTAATGCTGAAAATTAGGGACCTTGATTTAAAAATAAAAACTTTACCAAAATTCACTTATACTCTTTTATTATTAAAACTATCTCTAAACCCTAACCTAACCCTAAAAAAAAACTCTAACAAAAGGCCCAAAAAATTTTGAAATTTCATATTAAAATAATTAAAATTTCTAGCATCAGCTATTTCTAGCTTTAGCTGCAATATTATATAAGCAGGAAATGTGAAGATTTTTGATATTTATTAAAAAAAACTTTTTTTGATAGTTGTAGAGCTCACTGAGGCACATCTAATAGTAGTTAAATCATCAAAATCAGCCAAGTAGTTTGCGAAATATTGCTAAAAAATGATTGTCTAACTATATAAAATCTCTATATAAACAATAGTTTGTTTATATAAAGATTTTATATAGTTAGCCAATCATTTTTAGCAATATCTCATGAACTACTAGGCTGATTTTGATGATTTAACCACCATTTGATGTGCCTTAGCAAGCTCTACAACTTTCAATTAATCAACCTTGTTGATTAACTTAGTATAAAAAAAGTTTTCTTTAAATAAATGTCAAAAAATCTCTATATTTCTTGCTTATGTAATTTATATAGTAATCTGCATCATATTACACTATGATCATGCATTAGATGACTAGCAGATCATCAATAAATAATAACTTCTCAATAATCATCTATTCAAATTTAATAAAACTTTTTCATTTTAACTCTATAAGTCTGTAGAATTATAATAAAAAAATTATTTAAATTTAAATATGTAGTTGTTAAGATATATTAATTAAAAATTAAAAAAAATTAGCTGCAGCTTCTTTTTTATAGATGTCTAAACTTTGAATAAAGATTACTTGATATTTATCTTACCAAATTTGATCAAATTTTTTTATTTTAATTCTATTAGATTATAGAATTAAAATAAAAAAATTTAGACTGAATTTGATCAAGTAAGTGCGAAGTAGCAAATCTATTTAGTAGAATATTATTAATTATATATTAATTTAGCAATCTGATTAGCTAGCACATTACATATCACAAAATTTTTTAGGGTGCTATTAAGTAGTTGGCAGTAGAAGTAAATCAATAGCAAAGACAGTGTCTGATTTAAAGTAAATCCTTCCTGTCTGTAATTAATTACAAATTAAATTATTTATATTAAATTCAATTGTGATGGTTACTGGTTTTAATATATGTGTAATGTAATGGTTAAATAGAAAAGCCAATTTGAAGCTGCAACTAAGTACAGAAGTAAAGATATTTATAAATAAAAAAAATTTAGATAGGTCTTTAGAAATAATCATTTTTGAGAACAATAATCAATATAATGTAATTCAAATAATAATTACAGGAAATTTTATTGTTTAAATGATGTTTCAATGAAGTTAATAGTTAATTAATAATGATGCTTAAAGATAAATTCTGATTTGAATCAAATATTTCTAAAATCAGCTAATGCTAGTAATGCTAAAAAAAGTGGGGGCATTTTACTTTTTGTGTTTCAAAACAATTCTTTTCTTGAATAAACAAATTTCTGGTTATAAATCATGTGACCAAAACCTGATAAATTACAAATTTCAATTTTCAAGAAATTCAAGTCTTAATAAAATAATATTAAGTTAAAGTCAATTCAGTTTGTCAAATTGAGTTTCACAAGGTTTTATTAAAGTTACAAGTTGAAATTGTAAAATAAGCATTTATTTTATTACTTCTTATATTATTTAAATCAAACATAGAACTGTTCTTTTAACTTTATTAAATTTTAGAGACTTATATATATTGAATTTTCTAAGGGTGTTCATTGGAAAAAATTTTTTAATACTGTTCTGCACAGGTTTGCAAAAATATTAAATAATATATTAAATAAAAATCTGTGCAAAACTTCAGACTCACCAGCTATAGCTATAGAAATTAAATACAATTCTGCGCAAAATTTCAAAATATAGGAAATTTTGCAGTTTTTTTGCAAAAAATTCTGCAAAAATCTGCATTTTCGCAGGTTTTTGCAGATTTGCACTTATTTAATTCTCCCAATGTTTATACTGTATCATGAGTAAATTCATTTTGCTTCAAATGTATACATTCTTTTCTAAGGGAATATGCTTCCATCTAAGTGATTATACACTTGACACAAAATCTATATATTTGTATAAGTATATATATATTATTTAGAGCATTTATGTGTTTAGATAAGATAAGCTACTAAGTTACTATGAATTGTCTAATAAGTATA